GGGAGGCCCTAGAGAGGCCTATTGGTAGGCCTGGAAGGGAGTGTTTCAACAAATGTGTTTAAACATGTTCAAGGGAACTCGTAATTGTGCAACCCCCCCAGGAGAGATTGTGATTTGGTCCCATACCCAAATAGCCCAAGGCGTTAACAAATATTGAAAACATATGCCGCCCAAATGTGTCACCATATGGGTTTAAACCGTTTAAAAATGTTAGGGCTACCAATGGCATATGGTTAAACACTTTTGTGTTTAAACATGTTCGGTTTAAACCGTTCAAACATGTTGGGGCCACAGGTGACATATGTTTAAACACTTTTGTGTTTAAACACTTTTTGTTTAAACCGTTTAAACACTTCCCCCGCCCCAACCCTGCCTCAGCCGCTTTGGCGCAGCTTTTGTGGTACAGCTTTGCTTGTGGGTTTGTTTCTTGTCAGGCTGGCCTTCCTCGCGTGGGCGCTGATATCAGCTCCGGCCTCCACACGCCGATCCGCGCGGCTCTGGCATGGACCCTGGACCAGGCCAAGATGAGGAGCCACCTCATGCGGCCACCTGAGATGTTTGTAGAGAAGATACCAGATAGTGCTGGTGCTGCTGTATTAGCTTTTGCCCCAGCCTTGCTGGCAAAGGTTTGGCTGGCAGAAGCTTTTCTTCCAGCTGGCAAAGGCAAGCCCAAACTGCGTGGAATGTTTGTGTTCACCTGCAGCACCTGCAGGGTCCAAAGTTTCGGCGAGTTGGTCTGTTACTGGATGGGCCGGGGCACAGTGGGTGCCGCCTTCTCTCCAACCCCCATCGCCAGCCGATAGGCCGATAACCAACACGGATAGGTTCCTTGTCCAAGACCTTCTTGACCGCAGGGGTGGTCACTTCAACGACCTGGAGCCCACACCTCCAATGTAGAGTTGCTCAGGCACAAAGCACGAACAAGTCTGAGTGAACAGAATTCTTCTCGACTCCAGGCCTACATTCGACCCGAGTACGCCAAGGCCAACAAACATGTCCTCCTGACGGTCCCATACAATTTGCCAACCTGGAAGATGCGCAAGCTCCTTGAATGCTAAACGTTTGGTTTCTTGCTTGTCTGGAGACGGTGGCATAGTCATCCTGACCTGGTCTCATACGCTCTCCTCAGGAAGGCCATCAACCACTGGCTCCGTGCGGGTGACCTACGTAGCGGCTACCGGCGCCTGGTGGCCGCCTGTGTGGTTCCTTTGCCCTTCGTGCCTCGGACCAGTCCAACTATGTCCCACATAGAGACCTGCCGTGACCTGCCGCATCTGCAATTTGCTGTAGGTCCCGCACCGCTACCCTGAGCCGGCGCGCCAGCGCCGGCGTGCTGCGCGACCTCGCGCGGCTGGCAAGGCAAGCTGGCACAAGGAGTTGGAGACTAGTCAACGGAAGAATTCGCCAGGAGGCCGTGCAGTTTGCAGCTGTGGAGCCCGCCTCGCGAACATCGCCTCGAACACAGAGCACCTCCACAGGCTGGGCTCGGCTATGATTGGATGCACTTAGTGACTTAGTGAATTTATACTTTCTGTCTTTGAGTCCGTCCTGCTGTAAGGTGAGGAGCTCAGGGAACGCTATGGGCACGCCAGCTCTGAGAGGCAAAGCGACCTCTCCGGCGTGTGAACGAAAATGGCCAGGTCTTCTGACACGTTTTTCGAAGAGAACTTACATGCGTTGAACAACTCCCCCAGTAATTTGAAGACAGAAAAACTTTCAACATGGATGCTTGTCTGGGCCCAGGATTTTGTCCTGGGGGTCAGCACAGTACAGTATAGTATAGTATAGTATGGTATGGTATAGTATAGTATAGTATGCTGTATTGTACTATACTATATTATACTATATTATACTATACTATACCATACTATACTATACTATACTGTACTATATTATATTATACTATACTCTACTCAACTCAACTCTACTCTACTCTACTATACTATACTATACTGTAGTGTACTATTTTTCCCGAATGCTTCGCAGAAGGGTTCCCGTTTAGAGGCTGGGGGTCTGGGGGTAGTGACGCGATTCGCTGCGCGTGGCGGCCGCAAGCGTTCGCAAGCGCCCGCAAGCGTTCGCAAGCGTTCGCGAGTGTCGTGGTCGGGTGCCCAGGGAGAAAACGGACGCTACCGCTGCGGACCTGCGTTCGATTCAGACGAAAATGGCGCTCGCTTTTTGGTGTCGAGGGTCGTGCCGAAAGCGCGGAATTCATTGGAAATTACAGCACTTTCGGGCCTTCTCATTTATGAAATTGCGCTCTCGCCACAGTTCCGTGCGCGGTTTGGGTGGGAATCGTGCTCTCGCCACACTCCCAGTCGCATTTTGGTTCTGGAATCTTTGAAATGCTCCGAAATCGTGGCAGGGCCACACTATTCGGCTCCTCGGCGCCATTTGTTGTGCGCTTGAAATCCCGGCAGTCTAGGGGGATTCAGAGTTTCCGGGATTGTCCGAAATGCGCGAAATCGTGGCAGGTACAGACTACGAGGGCTTTCGGTGGCTCCTATGTCGCAAAGTCGTGGCAGGGGCATACTTTTTGCAAAAGTGTCAACAGTCACAGGGATGGTGGGGGTTGGGTGTTCGCGTTTTCGCCACAGCGCCGTGCGTGTTTTGGGTCGGATATCGCGCTCCCGCCACAGTCCCGCTCGCGTTTTGGCTCTGGATTCCTTCCAAAGTGTCGCGAAACGCAGAACTGTCGGCATTTTTTGGATCCGAAGCCGTTGTTGTGTCTTGACAAGTCTCAACAGTCACAGGGATGGCGGGGGTTGGTGTCGCGAAACGCAAAACTGTCGGCACTTTCGGGATCCGAAGCTGATGTCGTGTCTTGAAAGTGTCAAGAGTCACAGGAATGGCAGGGGTGGGTGTCGCAAAACGCAGAACTGTCGTCGCTTTTGCACAGGTGTCGTGTTATCGGGTCTCCAAAATGACAACAGTCACAGGGATGGTGTGGGTTGTGGTCGTGAAGCGCTCATCAGTCGGCGTTTTTGGAGAGGAGGGGAGCGGAGAGGAGA